TATATATATATATATATATATATATATATATATATATATATATATATATATATATGGGATATTTTAATTTTAGATGAATCCTTAATTTCTCTATATTAAAAAAGAGATAAACCATGATAAATGCAACTCAAGTTTTGAACCATTAATTCATAGCAGTTCATAGAAACTATTCAAATCATTAAATTTAAATTGTATCTATGTCTTGATATGAAAAATAAAAGAGGCTGCTCTCTCTTTCTCTCTGTGAAAAACATTAATAAAAAAAGCATGATGTGTTATATAATTTAAAAATTTATAACGCATTTAATTTTTGTCATGTAAATATATAATTAATTTATATTTATAGCAATTCAATAGTAAAAATTGATAGTAGACTAGTATATTAAAATTCGCATAATCTTTGAAATATTTCTTGTAGAATCAAATTAACTACTCATTATGTCATTTTGAAGTTAAATGAATAATGATAAACTTGCTTCATATTAATTGTAAGTATTAACTACCATTGATACCTTTTTTTTATAACTACTATTACAGAGTTGCCACAGAAAATAAATTTTAAAACTCCCCCGACTTTTCTACGCTCTGCAGACAATAATGGGGAATTTTTCATAATCAATATATAATCTTCAATTTTAATATTTAGGAGCAGGGACTGCAGGAAAGATAGCTTATATTATTAGAAGCAACACAAACTTGAAAGTTTAATCCTATAACGTAATATAATCCTGAATGCAAATTCAGGCTAACAAAAAATAAGCATTGAAAAAAAGAACGTAGTTATGAGGGAAAAGAGCGATTAAATATAAGCACCGAATAAAATATAAATTTTAATTATTTTGTTAATTAATATCGTAAGAGAACTAGAGAAGTAGGGGAAGACGAAACGAGAAATGGACGCAAGAGTACCTCAAAAGTGCCTCTTCGTAACATATAGGAAGTAACTTGTAAAATGCGTGAGTTTTGAACACATTTGATTATAAACGTGAGATATATTTAAAGAATTATAAGTACTCTTTAAAATAAGAACATTTATGAGAATTGTGAGCAAAGTTAAAAATCCCAAGCTTTTATATTTATTTCCCTGATTTTTCTGGGTTTTCTCTGACCAATTTAAATTTCCATGACATTTCTCGGTTTTTCAGGTCTGTTGCAACTCTTTATTATCAATAATAATAAATCCATACATCTACAATATAAAAAAACTCACTCATAAATATAAAACTAAATATTTATTTTCTACCAACTACGCCAAACAACTTGCAACTTTTCTGTAAGAGCAGAATTTGCGCATAGAAGAGTGTCTACTAATGCCAATTTAAAGGAATAGGGATATATTGGGAGTAATGAAAAATAATAATAAAAAAATTTCAGTTTCTTTTTGTTTTTTCGGAATATATATACTACCTTTCAATATTACAACATAATTCTCATTATGTTACAATATTACAACAATAATCGTTGTTTTCCTTACATACAGAATAGCCGCGCGATATAAATTCACAAATAAAACTTTGATACAGTTAAGATGGTCGTATAAAAGAATGCCTTGATAGTGTATCCTTTACAATCCAAACTATTTGGATTCACACTTTTATGGATATCAATTTAGTGTAAATAATGCAAATTTGCATAATAAAAATATAAACAAGAATTTGGCTTCTTTGGTAAATTAAAGATGCATTTACTTGTTTACACGCTTACATTCTTCTCTAGCCTCTATCAATATTTTTTTCATCATAATCATTGATCTCAAAAATTGTATATTTTTAAACATAAAAATTTTCTTTTCTTACCAAATTCTACCACCACCAAAGTAATGATACAGTCAATTTAATTGTGCGCAAATAATATAGAAATATACAGACGAAACACTAACTGCACATACCTCTATGTGAAATTGCATTATTATGCAAAGATTTGCAACTATCCGAGCATCGCATATGTTTACTAATGACACAGATAGAGAGTAAGGTTTCATCTCACCTCTACGATAGAAACCCTTGGTGATGGTTCTCGCGTCGCAATTTTTTCCATTACGATCGGACTAGTGGAGCTTGTGCTTGTCGAAGAATATTCTTTATCTGTCTCGTTATCGTTATCGAAATATTCTTTCTCGTCTTCGACAGGCTTCTGTGCATCCGCATTTTCGTGCGCTCTGCATACGACGCCACCCTTCTCGCTCTCTCGCTCAAATAAGTTGCCATCGAGATGATCTAAAAACATAAATAACATTAATTTTTATGGTGTACATAATTACAGTATATAAAATGTTCTTTTAACAATAACTTCTTTTATTCAACTTGAAGATGACTTTTCTTCAGTAAAAATATCGAGGGAGATCATTGTTAAGCGATTTTCCCCATTTTCAACATTGGGCGGTCTTGTATCTAAGTTTTAAATAAAAATTCTCTTATTTTCTCTTCTGCAGTTTAATTTGTAGAAATTTACTAAACTTAGGTTTTTTTTTATTTTCACGAAGGAAAAATCCGTTTTAAATTGGCTGGAAAATTTGCAGTGAAAGGGTATACCCATAGTTTGTGCAAATATATGTTAATATTATTTTCGGATTACCTTGACAAAATGCAATACTACAAAATGAACAGTGTGCTGATGTTCGACGTCCGCATTCTGAGCAAAAATGCCACGGACAACAGAATTTCGGTTCTGTCTCATCGACTATTACACACGTTTTGTGATACTTTTTGTTACATGTCCTTTGTGAACAGACTATAAACTTGTTGTGATATATTTCTTGTCCGCATTGCCAACACGTGTACTTTCTCTCTTTCGATCTAAAATAAAAATAACAAAATTTATTAACATATTAAATGCATAAAAACCATGACAAAACGATAAGTATATCAATTAACAAGATATACAATTATATACGTACCTTCTGTGTCGTTTTGATTTAACAATTTTCTTTAATTGCATGACCGATTGTGCTATTGGTAACTGTTGTTTCTGTGCTTTTAGCCCAATAAAACCGCTACAATTAGATGCACCGCAAAGACACGCTTTTCGTGTTTCTCCATCAGATGCTAAATTATAATTAAATGTCAGCTCCTCCCCGGTTTCTATGTCACGCAAAGCGAATAGACCGATACGCGTATCTCCGTTTACTGTCCATTTCTGCGTTTCGCAGTTTGGAGCGCACGAGTGATCTGTAAATGACAATATAATCGTTTTTCGGGATCACAGACTCGTATGTCGTAATATACTCACTCATAAATCGACTCAGATTTCCCTTCGGTTCCGCATCAATCGTTCTATAGTTGTCTATCGTCAGGAAGTAGAAATTCTCATTTTTCAATTCCTTCTTCCGATGTAATCTACGTTTGTATTCAGCGTCGTCTATAATTTCCCCCACGTACTCGATGACAAACCGCCCCGCTTTAATATCCTCCAAAGTCCTCAGGCCCCATCCGCGAGCCACTGTATGAAATGGCTCCATTGCTGGGTATTGTCTTAGCACGAACGACTGATTCATGCATTTGTCTCCAGCTGGACAGATTCCGGGACTGCATTCGACCATTAGTATACGATTCAGACAATCCGTACCAGGTGCACAAGGATTATCCCATTCAGGATCGCATTCGCATGCCACAATGCTCTCGAATTCGGTTGGCTTAACGTTGCCCACTGGTTTATTGACCTGTTACATGTCTATTTTCATTAAGGCTTCTAACTTTTCACTGCAGTTATTCATCAAATTATGATAAATTAACAATAAAGCACGTATGATCTAAGTCTCTGATTACAAACTCAAATTGATTTTAATGATGACACAGCAGTGTTGACTACAATAATATATATATTAGCCTAATCTAGATCAAGCGAACGAGCACGAACACAATCATCTATGAGCGAATTTGATCGAATAAGTGTGGATAATGGTGAGATTACGAAACGAGTTTAAAAGTCAGATCCAGAACGCAAGTAAACACAAACATAAATGAATAATGTGCTTTAATGAATGATCTGCCAGTACGGCGGCACCATATGCACTCATTGAAGCAAGGTGTTTATTTGTGTTTGTTCGCGCTTGTCTATTTGGTTTGAATCCGACTTCAAAGAAAAAGTGCTCGTTAGTCTTTGCTAGCTTGATTAAGCGTTAGCTTAATGTGGTATAAACCGTACTTTTAATTTTACGTATGGTGGCGGTTTCAGTCCTTTCGGTTTTTTAGTCATGGATCGCCTTGCTTTTAATTGTTGATGTATTTTATTGGCTTCCTCAAGAGCTATCCGATATGTATCGTCCATCAGAGATTTTTTATTCATAGGTGGTTTTATATTTGCGTCACCGTCTTGATATAAAAAGGCGCGACCTCTATAAAGGTTATTACATTAAAAAAAGATGACTTATTAAGATACTTATTAATCGCAATATTTCGTATAAAAAAATTTTTATTTACCTATCTACCCAATAATAATCATTGGATCCCAAAAACATTACGCAAAATTTGCCAGGACTGTGAGGTTTAGCTACACTTTCTACATTTTCAGGAATTTCATGTGGATAACATATACGAGACGGCCACCATCGATAATGGCCGAGTTTCACCCATACAACTTCCCCATACAAAGGTAATCTTCCTGTTTCACAATCCTCGCATATAAATCCGCCGTCAGGCGCATCTATACCTAAATTACCAACAACATATGAGTAATTTATTTGCAGGTATTGTACTTTACATTAACTATAACATTTTAATCAAGTTACCCAGACATTCCAAATGAAAGGAAGTCGGACACGTGTCGCAACAAATGAGGCTTCCACCACGTGTACACAGGAAACACCACGCTGCGTTCAATGGAGGATATGGTGCTTTGTAATGTTTTGGGCATATAATTTGGCTCGCCGTCAATATTACTGAACCAGCAGGCAGACACAATGTCGATGCATGATAAGACGAAGGGCAACGGACACATCTTGCTATTTTCTCATTTGGGGCGCGCGAACGGTGATGTTGAGGATTATCCGAACTGCAGGTGTGACATACGTGATACGGACATATCAAGCGTCCACCTTGCCAATGCGACTAAACAAAATACAAAAATATTTATTAATGTTAGAGTATATTAATATTTTAACATTATGATATAAACGCAAAGTTTTACCTGTGGCCACGATAATAAGCAGTTGGAATGATAATGTTTTCCACAAGCCGGGACGATACATCTTCCTCTATCTCCTTCCCTCTCATTGCATAAGAAGCAAGCAGGTGCTACTCCAGATAAACAGTCAATGCATTTGAATGTCTCGTCCTCTTGCTCATCGGATTTACCTGAATTCAATTAATATTATGATTATGCTGTATAACCATGTATTAGATTTGTTAAAAAAAAATTCGTTTTTCTTTTGTTAGTATGTCACATTTAAAAAGAAAATTTTTTTAAAATAAATATTACATATACATGTATTTATAATTATTATCACATAATTACCATTATTTTCATTTTCATCATTAATACTTCTTTTAATTATGTCTAAGTCGCTAAGTAATCTGTCATCCAAGGTGTTCTCATCAACAGAATATTCTGGACTAGATTCGCCAGGTTTTACACAGGATAAATGAAAATAAGAATAACAAGGCCCCTTACATCTCGTTAGCTTGCCTGTCTTCTCGCAAATCTGACAAACCTTTTCTTGTTTCATACCTTTAAAGAGATTGTACAATCTACTTCGTTTCGTTTCTGTAACAGAATTTTCTTCCTTGTCAATTTTACTTCTCGACTTTTTATTTTCCTTCACAGTTGTGTCAATCTCAATCACATCTTCATCCAGAGTACTTTCTTTTTTTATATCTTTTAAGAGATTGTACAGTCTATTTCGTTTCATCATTTCTGGAACAGAATTTACCTCAGTGTCAATATTACTTTTCATCTTTTTATTTTCCTTTACAGTTGTGTCAATCTCAATTGACGAAGTGCTTTCTTTCGAATCCACGTGCGAGTTTTCGTTTGACACTTGCGATCTAACTTTTTTCCGGTACTCCGTGTCCATATTGTCCCAGATTTTTCGTAAGTATTTTTTAATGTCGTCTTTTGGCGTATCTGGATATTCAGTCTCGAGCAAATTTTTGTTATCTTCGTAGTAGAGTTTAAATAAACTCTCTTCATCCTCATTTTTAATAATTTTTGTGTTTATACTTTCGGAAGAGCTTTTATGACTTGAAGGAGATGGAGGTAAAGAATCCAAATTTAGTTTCCAGTCAATTTTACCGTTTACAATCCGCGAATTTTTCGTCTTTAATAATTCTGATTTAAGTAACTTCGATACTTCCGGTTTTTCATTGTATAACTGTAAAAGTAAAAATAAGGTTTTACACTACATATAACAAGCACTAATTGTAAATTAAATTTATACTAAAGGTAAACAATTATTAACATTACATTGTTTTGTTTAGCACGTTTGACATCAGGCTCATCTTGCTCAATCGAATGTTTCCTCTTGTTCTTAATTCTTTCATCGACAGTAGATGATTTTGCATCTTTAGATTTCGAGATTTTAAATTTTTTCGCAAAAATTGCAATTCTTTCTTCCATCGTCAGTGCCTGTGCTTCTTCAGCTTCTCTAACAGCATTTTCCCACTTTATTCTCGCTCTTGGCTTTATAGTAAAAGCAGTAGTATACTTGGGATCCTTCTTCCTTGTATCTGCTGACTTGAATAATTTTTCTAATTCCATGAAGTTAGCAAGAGATATGAATTGCATCATATATTTTGCCGAAACCCAACTGTGACGTCCTTTGTCTCCGAAGTAATGAACGTGTACCCACATAATCAACTTAGAAGCAACTGTGCCACAAAATATTCAAAACATTTTTCAACATTTTATACCAGTAAATTTTTGTAATAACGTCTATATACATATAAGAAATATAACTTCAGATTCTCATGTTTATTCATATTCTAAAGCAACTTTCTTATAAATACACTGCAACTTAAATAAGTAAAATATACACAAGCTGTAGAAATTTACCTCTTAACTTATAATATTGACCTGTAGTTGGGTCATTTGTTACCATACAAGGCCAGTATGGGAAATTGCCAACTCTTGCCCATGCTAACTCTCCCACCATCCAATGGCATTCAACAACAGGACTGATTAGTTTTGGAGATGGGATCTCCTCTATACTATTTACTAAAGAAACGACTTCATCTACGTTATTAGCTACGTCAATTTCACTTGTATTTTCATCCATACTATTATCAGTGGAATTCGACACGTGTCTATGTGTCTTTAGCCTCAACGTCTGCAAAATTACAAAAGCAATGAATGTTACATAAGTACCAATGAACAGCAAGCTTCAGATTATTAAAAAAAAAAAAAAAACCGATAGATCTCAGACACTAAATATAACTTATTTGATATCTACTATTATAAAAAAAAGCTTCCTTGAAAGGAATCATATAAAAGTCGTTAGTACGTGAATATGAAAATATTTAAGATCAAGTCTCATAAATGACGTGTACTTCGATTGGGCTTAGAAATATACGCAATCGACAAAGGCACGCCAACGTTACGTGGATGCTTCGTTGCTCAGAGCAGCATGAAAAAAAGTACATGGCGTATACCTGCAGAGACTCCACAGTAATGCCCATGATGGACGTGGGCTTTATTGTTCTGCCGTAACGGCTTTTATTAGGCGTCCAGCCATTACAATCGTCATCGTCATCGTCCAGCAAAGCCTCCCCATCGCACACGTCCTCGCTCGTCGATGCCCCGACATTCACGTCGATCTCATCATCCGCCTCGGATCTGGCGCGATCCAACGCGGACACCTCGCTGGTCGTCTCCGTGTCAATGGTATTCATGACTGGTGCGCGTTCAGTACGGCAACGGCATTTTCAGGCTCTCGCGTTCCGTACGCCGTGTATCATGGAAGCGCCATCGGCACCTCGAACGACGGGCGTCCGCGGGGCCCGCGGAATGCCAGCGACGAGGGCACACTTGTCGAAAACAGTTCTCGCTACCGTTGGTTGGGGCCTACCTGAACGGCAAGCGGCGGGGCCTCTTCGGCCTCGTGTTTTCGAGAGGGGTATCACCTTTCTCGCGTATAGCTGGGCCTACCTCATCCGTGGAACGAACGTCCGCTTTCGCACCGCGAGGTGCCCGCACGCGGCCCCGAATTTCGCCCTTTCGACCGTCCGAATTGTTGTGATAATAACGAATTGTGAACGAACAACGAACCTCGCGTACCTCCTGAAGCAGGACGCGTTTCCCGCGATTTTGGGCGATTCTCATGGCCGGCGCTGCCCGCAGCCCGTGCCACCGACCGTGCTTTGTGAAACGGCGGCCGGCCAATGCCGCGCTCGCATGCCTTCTTTACCGATCGCGTCAATTTTCTGTAGTTTCTCCTTCATAAAAAGAAAGAAGAATCTCTTTTATCTCCGCGTCCCATAAAATGGGTGCGTTCAGCCGATACTCCGCTAGCCTAGCAATCGTGAGCAGTCGCTCGTTTTCGCTCGTTTCCTCTC